TATTTTGTTAATTACACGATATGAAATAATCGGTGATCTTAGCTACATAATTAAACAGCAGACAATTTAAAAGTTTGCAGAGGATTTTTATCAGCTTAACAAATGTAGCAGGCACGGGTTATTACACCTATCCCATAACAGAGCCAGGCAGGGAACTAAATCTACCAAATGACCCTCCATATCGATCTATTTCAGATTTATTCCCGGCCTCCTTCCAAACGGAACTGAGACAGATACACTCTATAAAACAAACAGTTAAACATATTTAAACTGGCTGGAATATTTTTTAAAGATGGAACATCTATGTCAAAAGGCAAATAACATCATGTGGGAACCGAGGGCAACAGACAGAAACTGGAAATCTTACAAACGAAAAAGGACAAACGGCCCTGCCCTGCCTGCTCACATCTCGCCGCCTGGGGAGACACGGCACGTCCCCAGAGGGCCTGGCAAGAGCAGGCTCAGGGCTCGCTCCCTCATCAGAGATATCGTCATTTGCTTCTAACTCATGGCGTCATATCTGCCTTGGTCCCTGACACATTAGTTAAAAGTTTTAAGATATTTAAATCACACGTTATTGAATTAGTGCGCCCAGCTCAGCCTGTTCTACATGCAGAGTTAACGATGCCGATCCCGTGCTAAGTGGGGAAACACTGAGGCAAGTGATTTAAACCCTCCGTAAATTTTATTTGAAAATTAGTGAAGAACAGCTCATTCATAATTTCTAATTAAAACAGCTCTAATTAACGGTGACACTCATTAGCGGCGCCCGCCCGCCCTCTGCACAGGCCGCAGCAGACGCGGCCCCGAAGCGTGCTGCGCCACCCCCACCGCCCGCCCGCCTGTGAGGAGCGGGAGATGCGCAGATAGGCGCCCGCCGCGTCTATTCTGGGAAGCGGGCTCCCTTAGACTGGGCGCTGCCACTCACAGCCCAGCGGGCCGCCAATCACTTCATCTCCAGGCTGCTCCGAGCTGCAGGCCCACAAGCACAGAATGAACGAAATCCCCAAGGACTTCAGATCCAGTGCCTTTTTTTAAAATCAGTTGGTGGAGAAGGACCTAGAAAGCGTCCATTCAACTGACAAAGGAGGAGGGCAATGTCTTCCTTCCCACTGAAGCCGTACACCTTCCAATCCGAGTGACTCCAACCTGACAGGTCCAACCGACCACGGCAGACACCCCGAGCACCCTCTCTGACAAACGGCTCAGGCGAGGACCAGCTGTGCCCGAGAGTCCCCGTGGGCAAGTCTGCTGGCCGGACCGTGCTGTCCAGCACAGGCCCAGCCCACCTCCACCCAGACATCCGTAGGGCACCTCCTCGGTTTACCCCATCACACCAGTGTGACTGGGAGCAGCGCCCCCTTCGTTCTCTGAAGTCCCTCAGCTTAGGCAACATGTAACAGCCCCCTTGTGAGCACCCTCATCTCCATCAGCCTCTCTGGCGTTTGGAGTAGATGGTGGACATTTTCTCAGCCACTGACCTCCCAGCCCCTGCCGCCCAGAGCTGCTCCAGTGCACGAACATTCAGGTTCTAGAACATGCACTGTGGCACACCTTTGACCTGCCCAGCACCACCCATGTGCCCGTGCACGGCTCGCAGGTAAAGCAAGGGCACAGCTGGGTCCTGCCCTCTAAGCAGCATAGCCCACAGGCTCCAGGTGAGACAAAGCCAGGTTACAGCTGTAAAGACAGTGGGTGAGCAGGACGAGGGCCTGCCACCTGCCCCATGGTCCCGGGACCTCCAAATACAGCATCAGAGGAGGACTGGGGCAGGGCATCTGCTGGCAGGACAAGGTGATGGGACAGCGGTGACAGAAGCTGGGCCTGGGCACCACACGCCATCCACTGGCTGGCTGGGCCCCTCTGGACGCTGTGTGTGGCAGGGGAGCAGCAGCCAGAGCACTAACACGCACCCTCATACCTATTCAAGGCACCCAGTGCCCCCCACCCCCGCTGGGCCCTGCCACACACAGCCTTACGGCCCCCACCACACGCCAAGTATGGAACAAAGGTCTCCTAACCGGACCACTCACTCTGGCATCATCCCAGCGAGCAGGAGGCCGGCGAGCACCCAGGGCAGGGCAGTGGCCAGAGCACAGTCAAGCTCCTGAGAGTGGCCAGGCTGTCCCGGGGCCCTACAGGCTGCCCACGAGCTGGGCTGGGGGCTCTGCCACCCCCAGCACTATGGCTGGCCCAGAAAGTCCCCGGGCCACTGGGAGCCGGCCATGCCACCTGACAGCCTGTCCTTCTCCAGCCACTCGCAGCATCGCAGAAACTGCCCATGGCACCCAGCTGCCCTCCAGAGGTGCGTGGTCACTGCCACGGCCTGCCTGGCTCACCACCACACAGAACTCTGTCCGGCTGCAGGAGCTGAGTGTGTCCACGCTGGGTGGCGGCTGGCAGCACGCAGTCAGCGCCTCCAGCGCGGGGCTTCGGCGAGAGGGGCGGGCAGAGCACATGGGGTCAGCGATCACTGCCTGTCACTTCGGCCTCCTTGGGACCCTGGACACCCGGTTGCAATAGAGTAGATGCCGCACACAGGAGCAAAAGAAAGACAGAACAACTCACAGAAACTTAACAAAGCCTCCCTTTACTGAGCAACGGGCACAGGGACGGCCAGAGGAGCAGTCCCCGGGGCCCTGTATCCCTTCCTGCTCAGGGTGACTGCTGACGGTAGCCCTCACTCTGGACACAAGCCTGCTCTGAGGCCGTTCCTACTCTGGGTTTGCTAAGAAATTCATCACCTCCATCGTCAACACGCTAACAGAATTACTAACTACCTCCCGCAACTAGAAAACAATCCTTCTTTCACTGTGAAAAATGAATTTTGGTCAGAAGTCACAAAAATAACTTCTTAGTTAAGTTACACATCAAAACGAAAACATCGTTGAGCACCCACAAGCACCTGACTGCCGTACTGACAACTGCAGCCGATTCGACGCCAGGCCAGCCCACTTCCCAACGGCCTTCTATTCCCTGTCCCTATCCATTTTCTTGGATTCCTGAGACAGATCTAAGGGAGAAAAGCAAGACTGCCCTCTGCTGGTCCCCAGGGGGGTTGCACACACCATTTGAAAAGTCCGGGACTAGCCTGAGGATTTGGAGCCCCAGTGGCACGGTGGGTGGTTAAGAGCTCGGCTGCTAACCAAAAGGTCGGCAGTTCGAATCCACCAGCCGCTCCTTGGAAACCCTATGGGGCAGTTCTACTCTGTCCTATAGGGTCGCTGTGAGTCAAAATCAACTCGACAGCAATGGGTTTAGCTTGATGAAGCTGCATCCACTTGGCACTATGAACGTGGAGATCTCTGGTAGAGTCGTGCCTGTTTGAAAATGCTCCAGCTGGAGCCCTTCCTGCCCACGGGCCTCAGACTCCTGGGGCCATCCTAGCCCTCTCCAGCACAAGGCGGCAGTGACCTTGGCCACTCTAGGGCCAAGGTCTGGGGCCTTCTGAGGGGCTTTGAACAAAGCTTCCTTTGAAAACGCGGAGAGAGTTTAACAACCTTTTCTCGTCTCTCGCTCACTCGGGGCTCCACGTCCTCCCCCCGCTTCACCTCCCGCCATGGTCGCCTGCTGCACAGCCCCTACCATGGCCCCAGTGTGAACATGGGGCCAGCCATGCAGTTCCAAGGTGGCGGCAGCGGGCTTGGGGCCGGTGCTCCTCAAGGGAGCGGCTCGCTCTCTGGGCCCGTTTTCCCAGGTCTAAACTGGAGTCAGAGACGACCAGAGGCGGAGGACGGGGCATCCCGCGCAGCTGCACTGAGGGTGTAAACGTCACTCCCATGCCTGTGGGGATGGGTGGTTTCTGGCGGTGACCCTGTGGAGTGGACCTAAACTGGTTCCCTCCCTTGGACGGCGTCCCCTGAGGACGTCCCATGGAGAAGACCCCACTCTCGGTCTAGATGTCCTTTTCCAGCTCACATCTCCTCGGGTCCCTAGAACAGGGGAGCCCAGGCCTGCGGGCGGGGTCTGCTTGGCCCCACCTGCCCGTGGGAGCCTTCGGCCTCCCGGCAGTGGGCCAGCCCAGCATGTCTTGATGCCGACAATCTCCACGGCTACAGGGTCACCGCATCCGGGTGTCCGTGGTGTCCCAGGAGCAGGGTCGGCTTCACCCCCGCCCTGTCATCTAGTGCCCCAAGACGGAGGAGACACCTGCACCTCCCTCAGGCCCTGCCTGCGGCCCGCACCCCATCCCTGTCCAGCGGCTCCCGCTCTGGCTCTGACTCCATGCTCCGCGCCCGCAGGGCACACCCTCCACCCCAGTGTCCCCTCCTAAGCCTGAGAATGACCTCTCCCCCACACACCACGATAGTCCCTTTAAGGCCTGCCTCAGTCTCCACCGCTAAGTAGGCAGCGGTCTCAAGGTTGAGTGTGGTCTGGCTGGTGCTCAGCTCCGGCCGGCAGTGAGTAAGCCAGAGAGGGCAGTCCAGCCGGACCCTCTGTGGCTCCTCAGAGCCTCCCCTGGAAGGCAAAGCACTCAGCACCGCCTGTGCCTGGCCACAACCCAACGATGGGATGCTGGGATGTTATCCTCACCATGGCAATCACTCTGCTCCCAGGAAGCCGTCCCTGACGGGCAGGTCAGACGGGCTCAGCAGGGCTCAGGCGTGGCCGTGGGCAGTGCTCAGACCCCAGGCTCGCCGCACGGCCTCCCTGGTCAGCTCAGAGACATAGAACACCCTCGGACACCCCTCTCCATGAGAACCTTCCACCTGCTCCCCCACGCTTACCTGCCCACACTCTTGCTGCCCAGAACCCTTCCACAGCCTCCACTGACCAGGGAGGAAGCCCATCCGCTACCTCTGCTCACAAGCGTAGAGCACCCATTTCCAGACGGCCATGCCGAGAGAGGAGGGAACTGGAGACCACCCAGCCCCCCGTGACGCCAGCTCACTGAGGACGGCTGAGACTGGACCCCATGGGGGTCACGCGGAGGTGGGCTGAGAGAGGCAGGATGGTGCTTTCAGCACTCCCTACCCCCTGCCCGGCCACCGGGCACTCACCAGCCTCCTGGGTCCTTCCTGAGGCTTGATGTGAAGCTCCTCATACTTCCTCACAGCCACTTCCAGCTCCGTCTTAACATCGATGGCATGCTTCAGCCGTTGGTCGTGAATCCCAGCACGGGTGAACAGCTGCAAAGTAAGAGAATGGATTACTGCCGCCCACAAAGGCGTCTGGGGCCTGCCCTGCTGGGTGCTCACAGCATTCACTTACCCCGTGAGGAAAGGGCACTTTGTTGGAACACACTCGGAACAGAGAGCAAACTGACAGCGTGCCCCAGGGGAAGGAGGCTTCTGGGCTCACGGGCAGAGCGCTTCGGGTTTAGTCACCTACTCCCATCTCCAGGGTCGCCCCTGAGGGTGTGTCCTCGCTGGCTTTCTCTGCTCACTGCTGTAAATCCCACAGGCTCCCCACTGTCTAAATCCTTATCGCCAGCACTCCTGCCAGGCCTGGCTCACAGCCGGGGCCCCCAGGGCCTGATGAAGGAGTCCCCCACAGCTGGTGACCAGGCACCCCGCTGGGCCCAGGGCAGCTCGGCAGCACCTCACCTGCACCCAGGAGCACACGGACGGCAGGAACTTGTTCTGGATGAGCTTGAGCGCATCCCGGGCGCTGTGCATGACGGCGCTGTTGTCTTCATTCTCCTGCACCTGCAGATCGTCTGGAACAAGCACACCAGGGTCACCAGAGGGGCCGGCTGCCAGGCTGCGTCCCCTGGGGGCAGGGCGGGGAACCTTGAGCAGAGAATGTGACAGGCCCTGGCTCACTGGGCACTGAGGGCACCCCCACCTGTCAAGGAACCTGCCAGGATGAAAGCCAATTCCTCTACGTGCTGCCCCCGTTACTGCTTCCACATCCCAAACTGAGAAGTAAATCCATCTTTTAGTGATTTGGTTAAGAGCTTTTTTAGTATAACACCAAACCCAGAAAGTCTGATATTACGAAAACACAAAACTTCCCACCTTGCAAATACAAAGACAAGATTGAAAGGTAACCCAGCGGTATTTGTTAATACAGGTAAGGCCATGCGAAGCTCCCACGTTCCAAACAACGAGAGACAGACACACAACCAACACAGTAACTTAGGAAGCTGCCTCTGGGCGACAGGGAGCGTGCTCTGGAGGAAAGCATCGCAGAGCAGGGCTGGGGACTACAGGTGGGCCCGGGGCCGCGCGGGCAGGGCCGTGGGGTGGTGCGGTCACATACGGCTGCACGGTATGCGGGCGGGTGCAGAGGTCATCAAGAACTGGCTTCCACAGGGCAGGCACCGACAGGATCAAGGGACCAAGGGTGGCTGCAAGGACTGACCACAGGGTTCCAGCTGGACAGAGGAAGGCAGCAGCCAGGGGAAGGGACAGCAGAGGCAAGCAGCCAGTGCAGGCCAGGAGGGGACAGGCAGAGGCCGTGCACACCCACCCAGGATGGACACCTCCCATCCACTCTGAGAACCCCTGCCCACTGGCAACCCCTCCTGCATGGGGCCCCTCCCATTCAAATGCCCCAAACGAACTCACAATACCCTGCGCCCCTGGTTTGCCCCGCCTCAGCCACGCGTCCTGGGACTCTCTCCCTACATCTCTGCATCAGCTCAGCGCTGCAGCGGCCGGGCCCAGCCTTTTCTGCCCCGGCGTGGACGAGAACGTCCCACGGCTCTTTCCACAATGACTCCCACCCCAGCCCCTAAATCCACTGTCCACGCGGCAGCCCTGGGGGTCTTCCCAGGCTGTCCCTCCAAAGCACGCCCAGCCCCAGGTCCTGAATGACCCACCCAGCCAGCCTGTCCACCCAGCCCGCCTCCCACCCCAAGCCTTGGCCACCCTGGCCTTTCCGTCCCTGCCGTGGCCTCTGCCCTGTGCTCCCTCCCCGCTGCCTTGGCAGACTATGCCCCGGCCCTCCACCTCTCTTGTCGGCCAGCAGTCACCTCCCCTGACTGTCAGGCTGTTGGGCACGCCGCTCACCGCTGTGGAGCTCACGCACGTGGTGAGCAGATGTGTAGTTATGACAAGATACACGCCGGCACACAGGTGATGCAGCTGCCCAACACATGGATGCTGGTGTAGCACCGCGTGTGCCGGGCCAGGGAATGAGCACTACTGCTCCTCCAGTCCACGGCATGCTCACCCGCGGCACGTTAGTTCTCCGTGCAGCGGCGCCTCCCGACGGCCGAGGTCTCCACGGACCTGTGGAGCGCACTGCGTGCACTTCAAAGACAGCTTCTCCAAAGACAGACGTGGACTCAAAGCCACAAACGTACCTGAGAAGCCACCCCAATCCCTCCAGCCACAACTCACACTGGCTGAGCCCCTCCCGGCCACCAGGCCCTGAGTTCACCAAGTGGGCCCATGTCTTCGCGCTCCCCTCCCCCGGCCTGGAGGTGGGAATGCCAGGGCTAAGCGTGGCTCTGAACGTCAAGTACCCTGATTGCATTTTCCTACCCTGGCGCCTGACCCCTCACCACCTTATTCTGATGCTGACTAGGCCTCTGACCAGGCGGGATGCCCCACCCCCTCCCCAGGAACCCCTCGGTCGTTGCCTGCCTGTCACAGGAGGGTCCTTCTCCCCCGGCCATTCATGACTGATGCCGGGGTCCCTGCCCTGCTCAGAGCCCACTGAGAGCTACCGTGAGCTGCCGGACCAGTCAGTGAGCTCTCGGAAGTGTCCCTGCAGCTAGCCACAGCCAAGGAGGCCGCGGCTGCAGGTCCAGGGTCTGGCTCTGCTGCAGGGACACCGTGGGTGCTCACAAGTGCAGTGAGGAGGGACGTGGCCAAGCAGCACTGGCCTGCCAGCCCCAGTTACCTGAGCAGAGCTCCAGGTCCAGCGTGTATTTGTGCGAGCCGAGCCCGTGGCTCCGGAGGAACTCCTCCTGGTCCTTGTGCTCCTCCTCTGACAGGTCCCCCGTGGCTCCCTCTGGCGGCCCGTCCCTACCACCGATGTCTCGCAGACTGTGTGGGAAGGCAGGCAGGTCTCTGCTGCAGCAGGGCTGCTCCTCGTCCTGGAGGCCAGGGCTGGCCGGGCGGAGGCTCGAGGAGGGCAGGGCGTCTTCATCAGGCACCCCTGGGGCCATGATGGGGCAGGCGGCCCTAGGGCCCGTGGCAAAGTCAAAGGGCACTAACAGCCGAAAGCAGTTCTCCACTTCCGTGAGGCAGGATCGGACTTCTGCAGACATCTCTGCCCAGAGACGAGACGCCACTGATGGGTGAGCTCGGCAAACGGCACCCCTCACTGTGAAACCACGCCCACCCATGAAGGCAGGGCCACGCTCAGCACCAAGTGGGCTGAAGGCCAAGAGTGCCCTATGCCCCAGGCACACGCACACAGTCTCCCCAGACACGCAGGGCGCCTATGGCACACCTCTGCCGGCCACCCTGCACCCCCTGGGAGCCTTCTAACTCCTCCACCAACAATAGAAGCCAGCGTCCTGGGTGTACGTATCGACAGAAGCTGGTTAGTTGTTCAATAAACTCCCAGCTCAGCAGCCGGCCTGCAAGGGCATTCACCATGGCACTGCTGGTCTGAAGTGGAGCCATGATGGCGGCTCACTGGTGCACCACGGAATAGCAAGTGAGATGTTTCTCCCTGGGGAGGGCTTCGGGAGCAGGGTGGACAGCGGGGAGCTGCTAGGACACACACCATTTCCCAGGCCCCGTCTCCCTTACAGCCCATCCTCTTGCATCCCAGGCACCTGCTCTCCGGCAGCCCCCTCAGAGGCCCTGGAACCTGGATGCTCCTGTGTGATCACACCTGGGCCAGGGCTTCTCCATGGGGCCGGGGCCTCCCAGAAGCTGCCTTCGGATGGGGCCACGCCCAGCAACAGGGTGTCTGGTTCTGCAGGAAGCTCCGGGGCACAGAACTGAGCCCCTGAAGCCTGGCACCTAGAGGACCCAGGGCCACTGCCGCCACCCATCTCGGAGGACACTGCTCTGGGCATGGGCACCCATGGCCCTTCTTCTCCTGGGCCCCTCGCACCCGGGCTCACGCCCCACACACCCTCTAAGGAGCTGGCTGCCAGGAAGCAAAAGGTGGGACTCGGCCAGGCCATGAGGCTCAGCTCCCGGCCAGCATGGATGCCTCCCCTCCCTCCTCTGTGCCTCCTCGCCCTCTGTCTTCTCCTTCCTTCCCTCCCTCTCCCCTTCCCTCCCTCCTCAGCATCTGTGCCCAGGTGGTCCTTACAGGAATCGGTCACAAGCGAGCATAACCACCAGGGGGCGGAGAAGAGAGTGGACGGCCTGCAGAGGCCCCTCCCAAGCAGGCTGTTTCCGACTGGAGACTGGAGAACACCCAGGCTTGCCCAGGGGAGGATCTCTGGGAACAGAGCTGGGGTCTCAGACTGTGCAGTCAGCCCTACAACCTGAGCTGTCTCTACTTAGCCTGTCCCCACACCTGCCTTCCTCCCCACCTGGGACAGCCCGAGACCTGGGCAGGCCCTGTCCTGAGACCGGGATGGAGGAGGTAGTGGCTGGCAGAGGATGAGGGTGGCCCTAGGGGCTCCGCTGTTGGCGGAGTGACTGCCGGGGTCCCCGCAGAGCGGGCGCAGCCTCACGGGGGCAGGTGAGTCTCCCCAGTAAAGGTGCAGGGGAGCGTGCCCCCAGTTCTGGTAACCTACCTTCCATCTCCCTTTCGGCCTGCTTGGCTCGCTCTCTGTAGATGTTATCCAGGCGTTTCTGCTTCTCCTCTTCTCTCTTTCTCTCTGCCACGGTCCTAGCGTTGACATCCTGAAAATCTACCTGAGAAATTGAGAATAAGTATCAGACCCGTCTATAAAGAACACAAGGAAAACAAATCAGAAGATGGGTCTCATAAAAGATTTACCAGCATCAAATCACAGGCAGAAGCTCTGACTTTTGTTTTAATTCGTTGTGTTTTAAAACGTTACTCTGCTCTCTAACCCCTGGTAAAGTACAGCCCACAGCACTGCCATCTTGCGTGAGACAACAACTACAAAGACAAGAAACCAACCACCTGGGAAGGAAAGGCTGCTGCCAGGACTGAGGGGCTACAACTACCACCCAAGCATCTGTGTGCACCCCGGGAGGCTGACTGCCCACGGGCCCGCCGCCGGGGGGGGCCAAGGGGTCTGCCAGCTGGAACATCTGCACTGGCAAAGCCTGAGGATCTTCAAGGTGAGAACCAATTTGAAACGGGAAAAAGCAGGGGAGGAAGGAGGAACGAGGACATCAGGGTCCGGGGATGCAGCAGCAAATCTCGCGGATTCCACTGGCATCCAGCATGAGCCAGGGCCCGCCCAGAACCCAGGTGGGAATTTGAGATGCAAGGTGTGAGGACCCCAGTCCAGAAACTCACTGTCAAAGGAGAGACTTGCATTTGGGAAGCTGAATTTTACTCCTCCTCTCTCTGTCTTTTTGCAGATTTATATCACACTCATGCAGAACCCAGGTCCCTGGCTCAGCCCCCTCCACAGGCAGAGATGAGTGTGTGTGCCTCCCCGGGAGCTACACCCCCTCAAGTTCTGTCTCTGTTGCTGTCGAGTCGATTCTGACTCATGGCGTCCCACATGTACAGAGCAGAACTGCGATCCACAGGGTTTTCCAGGCTGTGACCTTTTAGAAGCAGACGCCAGGCCTATCTTCTGAGGTGCCTCTGGGTGTGTTTGAACCACCAACCCTTGGATTAACAGTTTAGGGCTTAACCATATGCACCACCCAGGGAGCCAGCTAATTCCCCCGCTGCTGGTCATCCACAGCCCCACTCACCACAGGCCCCACACTGCGGGTCATCCACGGCCCCACTCACCACAGGCCCCACACTGC